CATTCTTGGAGCGCTGGACAGAGGCGCCGACTTTCTGGTTTCCCTGGGGGGGCTCGACCCTCGCTCCGAGGCCTCACCCCCACCCTGCCCCTTCCCCCCAAGGCCCCACCCTGCCCTGCCTCTTCCCGCCCTCACCCCCCCCCCTCCCGCCCCCGCCCCCCCCCCCCCGCCCAGTGCCTCCTGCACGCAGCTAAACAGCTGATCTGTGCCGAGAGGGAGGCATTGGGGGGGGAAGCTGATCGGAGGGGGCGCCGGTGGGTGCTAAGCACCCACTATTTTTTTCCCATGGGTGCTCCAGGGCTGGAGCACCCATGGATTCAGCGCCTGTGGTGCTGTACTCAGCGCAATCGTCGAGGGTCGGTGCCTTTCCCTCTGTGAAGCGGCGCTAACGGGGAGTGGGACCCTGCGGCTGAACATGCTGGGTCTCAGCTGCGTGCCAGCCCGCATGACTGTGTGGCACCCACGTTCTGTAACGGACTCATTCCCGTCACCAGTGTCAGTGCTTTACACAGAAAGCCCCGTCACCCCAGCCGGAGCCCCGTCACCCCATCCCCCCCCCCACCGCCCCCCCCCCACCCAGCCAGAGCCCCATCACCCCATCCCCCACCCCATAAACCACCCCAAACCCAGCCAGGTCCCATTTAAACCAGACTTCCAGTGACTTCCTTCGCAAAGGCCCAGCCACCAGCCCAGCTACCGCCCCGTTCCCTCCCCTCTCGGACAGGCCCGGACTCCCCTTGGCCATCAGGACGTGGTAGCTAGGCCCGGGCTGGCCGTGTTCCCCGACTCTCATTCCCCTGGCCCGTGGCGTGGGGGATGCTTGCCCACCTTTCCCCAGGGGCTTCCCTCTGCCTGTCCCCCCCGGTTCCGGGCGGAGTCCATCACCCGGCAGCCAGGTTGGCATTACACAAAGAGCCTTCTTTATCGGTAACATTGAGGGAGGAAATCTCCCGCACTCGCTCCCACGGCTTTGTGCGTCCCCAGGTCCCCGTGGTTGGCTGGGTGGGCTCTGACTGGCAGGGACCCACCGCAGGGCGAGCGCTGGCACTGGAGGGGCAGCCCCGGCAGCTCGCCCGGTGTTCTGGGGCCACGCCCTCCGCCCTGGGGCCAGCCTCACGCGTCTCCAGCATAGGGGCCGTCGCCCCTCCCATGGCGCGGGGTCAGTTGGCCACCTTGTTGGCAGGAACATTGAAGAGGTCTGCGATGTCCAGCATGGCCTGGCGGATGTTCCTCCCGAACCGTCTGGAGTCCTGGGGTGGGAGAGGAGACGGGAACTGGTTAACATGGGTCCCAGCTAGAGCCGTGGCTTAGCAGGGGCAGGAGCGGCGGGGGGCAGCTTGAGACGCCCCAGGCGGGCAGATTTCTCAGGCCCATGGCATTGGGGGGCGGGGGGCTGCGGGATGTGGAGGGGCCCATCCTGCTCTGGAAGTGGGGGTGCTACAGCAGGACAGGGCAGGACAGGGACGAGGGTCAGTGGAACAGGAGGGAGTTGAGGGGGCCAGGCCCCGACACAGCTCCCCCACCCCCGCACACACCTCAGCTACAGGGCAAGGCCGGTCCTGCAACCGCTGCTTCCAAGCCCCCCTCGGTGAGTGATCTGCACACCCCTCCCGACCCTCGGCCAGTGTGCACTGTGGGGAGAGCCTGACTGGCGCTCCCATGCCCCGGACAGCAGGTCTGACCCTAACCCAGCCCCCACGGCTGCACCCACCCCACGCGCAGCAGCCACAGCAGACGGGGCATCCAGAGACAGATGTCTGCTGGGACAGCCGGGAGATCTGGCCCCCAGGCGAGTCACAGGGACAATGCCCACAGACTGCAGGGCCAGGAAAGGAGCTACAGCGAGCCAGGCCATGCTCCCTGATCTGATAGGGAACCGCAGGGATCGAGGGGCAGGGGCAGGTGGCAAGATCCCACAGCGGCTGGACAGCCTGGCTGTTTAGACAGGAGCTGAAAAAGAGGCAATGTGCCAGAGGTAGGAAATGCTGAAGGGACAGAAATGGAGGGCAGGGCACTCTCATGTGCTGTCCCAAAACAGAGGAGCCAGGAGACACAGAAGGGCACCAACAGGCAGCACATTTACACAGATCAAAGGAAATGCTTTTCTTACACCATGTTATAATTAACCCGTGGAACTCACTGCCACAAGATGCCAGAGAGAGTACGACTTAGTGAGGTTCAAACAAGGGTCAGGCATTGGCCTGGATAACAGGAACATCCCTGCTTAGATGAACGCAGAAGGGAAGACCTGCCGACAGGTACGAGCCAGCCAACAACTGAACGGGCTGGGAGACACTTCTCCCAGGGCACGTTATTCCAGAATCCTTGCCCCTCCCTCCGAAGGTCCTGGTCCTGGCTCATCAGAGAGGGGACGAGATGGGCCCCTGGGGCTGACCCACACTGCCAATTCCCATAGCTAAAGGACAGCGGGCCCCAGGGGAGGGCTCTCAGACCCCGTGTCCCCTCAGGGCTGCCCTCCAGCTGGCTCCGTGTACCCCAGGGCTCCTCTCCTAGGGAGAGCCTCGAATGATGATGGGCCACGAGGCCCAGGAGGGGTTCCTAGCCTGGCACCTATCGGCCAGGCAGTCTGTGCCCAGCCAGGCCTGAGGGAGACTCTGACCGTTTCGGGGCTGGAGAACTTGCTGGAGATGTGGAAGGTGATCAGGTTCTCGCCAGCAATGATGTAAGAGACGCCGTATCCGTCGTCAGCCACCTGCAGGGACAGTCAGAGAGAGGCGGATGGGCAGCAGCACTGAGAGGGAATGCAGCCGGGAGGAAGGGGCTGGAGCCGCTGACTGTGGGTGGTGCAGCCTCGGTTGGGCCGCCAGGCGAGTAACAGCCTCAGGGTGGGTGCCAGCCTTTCGCTGTGCCCGGCTCTGTGCTCAGCAACCTGGAGTCATCCCAGAATCGTAGCACTGGAAAGGACCTCGAGAGACCATCTAGCCCAGTCCCCTGCACTCATGGCAGGACTGAGTATTATCTAGACCATCCCTGACAGGTGTTTGTCCAACCTGCTCTTAAACATCTCCAATGAGGGAGATTCCACAACCTCCCTGGGCAATTTATCCCAGGGCTTAACCACCCTGACAGTGAGGAAGTTTTTCCTACTGTCCAACCTAAACCTCCCTTGCTGCAATTTAAGCCCATTGCTTCTTGTCCTGTCCTCAGAGGTTAAGAACAATTTTTCTCCCTCCTCTTGTAGAAACCTTTTATGTACTTGAAAACTGTTCTCATGTCCCCTCTCCGTCTTCTCTTCTCCAGACTAAACAAACCCAATTTTTTTCAATCTCTCCTCACAGGTCATGTTTTCTAAACCTTTGATAATTTTTGTTGCGCTTCTCTGGATTTTCTCCAATTTGTCCACATCCTTCCTGAAATGTGGCGCCCAGAACTGGACACAACACTCCAGCTGAGGCCTAATCAGCGCGGGGTAAAGCGGAAGAATGACTTCTCGTGTCTTGCTCACAACACTTCTGCTAATACAGCCCAGAATGATGTTCGCTTTTTTTGCAACAGTGTCACACTGTTGACTCACATTTATATATGTGTCACTCAGACCCTGCCCGTTCCCAGCACAGGCAGTGGGGGCTGGTAGCTGGGGGCTGGGCTGGGCTGGGTAGGGTACTCGGGTGCTGATGCCGCGTGAGCTGCAGCAATGCCAGACTCCCTGAGAAACAATAGGGTCACGCTCGCTGCCCTCACTCGCATGGAGCAGCCTCGCTCCACCAACTGCCCCAGCTGGGACTCCTGCCCGTGCAGCCGCTGCAAAGATCAGAGGTGCCCTGTCCCCCGTGCATGTACCCAGGGCACCTGCCCACCTGCCACTGCAGAGACCAGAGGTGCCCCGTCCCCTGTGCATGTACCCAGGGCACCCGCCCTGCCCAGCCGCTGCACCCTCTGAAGTGCCCTTCCCAGCCTACATCTGCCCAAAGTACCCTCCCCACCCACACAGCCGCAGTCCCACATGCTCCCACCCTGCCCAGACACAGCACGGAAGCCCCAGGCGGTAGTAAAACTCACTGGGCCGAAGCCGCCACCGGAGGAGACGAGATCCTGATTCTTCTCCATATCAAACATTTTGATCTGTTGCTGGGGAGTCTGACTGGTGGAGAGACGCCAGGGCTCAGCCAGCACCTGCATAGAACCACGCTCCAGTGAGCACCTTGCACCTGCCAGCCCCACCTCCCCTCCAGCGCGAGGCTCCAAACTCTGCAGAGACCATCCTGAGCTTGCACGGAGCCCAGGGCCCTCCCTTCCAGAACCCAGCACTGCCCAGAGCAGAGCTGCCAGCCATAGCCACAGCCCAGGGCCCAGACTGACACGCCTAGATTCCCGTCTGAGTCTTGGCCCTTGGCCCTTTTCTGGCTTTCTGTAAGCGCCCCCAGTGCCAGGAGGACACGAGCAGTTTCGCACGGGGGGAGGCTGAATAGGGGTAGGCAGACGCCAGAGGGGAGCTTGCAGGCCGGGCCACCTTCTGTCTATCCCGGTCCAGAGGCAAACACGGAGAGACCAACAAGGCTCCGGCCTTTTCTTCCCAGCCTCCAGGAGGAGCTCACTTGGTCTGTGGGGGCGTTACCAGATGAGCGTGGGTGAGAGGGTGTGTGTACACGTGTCAGGTGGGGTAGGGTGTGCATGTGTGTCAAAGTGGGCCAGTTCTTAATGTTTCCTCTGAATATTGTAGGGGTGCCTCAGTTTCCCCTATGCATTTCTTAAGTCTCTAGGGGGTGAGATTGTTGCAGAGCAAAGGGCCAGTGTGCATAAGTGGCCGACACTCTGTCTCCTGGCAACTAATGGCCTGGGTCCTTCCCCCCTGCAAGGTGATAGCTAAAGGTGTTGGAGAACAAAGAGATCAGGTGACCTCCTGGCCCGGGAAAGGAAAAAGCTCAGAGAGAAGAGGCTCCCCCAGAGTCCTGACTGGCTTCATAGGGAGCAGTTCCAGAGCACCGCCCGGGGACTCCGTGACAGCATGTGTGTGGAGGGGTGTGTGCATGTGTGTGGAGGGGTGTGTGCATGGTGCCTGTGTGCATGT